CTAACATAATAACTTAATAAATGATACATTTGAAAAAAAGAGGTTTTTAGCGTTGTATATTAACTATATTGTAACACCCATAAAATTTAAGTCAATTTAAAACTTTTTAAACAATCCAAAAACCATTAGTTATTACAAAAAATGTTTTCAAAAGGTATAATATCAGGGTATCCCAGAAACATAAACATAAATATGAGGAGTTGTACGATCACGCCTTCGCCTTGTCGCGATCCCCTGATGTACCTGAAACAATAAACTGAAACTGTAAGCCCGAGGCTTAGTGAGTTCCCCAAAATACCGATACACTGCACATAAAAACCCAAATAGCAATCTAACATAATAACTTAATAAATGATACATTTGAAAAAAAGAGGTTTTTAGCGTTGTATATTAACTATATTGTAACACCCATAAAATTTAAGTCAATTTAAAACTTTTTAAACAATCCAAAAACCATTAGTTATTACAAAACTTGTTTTCAAAAGGTATAATATCAGGGTATCCCAGAAACATAAACATAAATATGAGGAGTTGTACGATCACGCCTTCGCCTTGTCGCGATCCCCTGATGTACCTGAAACAATAAACTGAAACTGTAAGCCCGAGGCTTAGTGAGTTCCCCAAAATACCGATACACTGCACATAATACATATACAAATAACAGCATGTACTGGGTCCACAGCTTTACAGACTGGAATACCCCTGGGCCCACAGTGTGAGTCTGGATTGCCTACCGGGCCCACAGCTCGTATCTGGAATGCTCCTAGGGTTTGTTGGTCACCGCACGAAGCAGTACATCCTCAACCCATCCCACATAACATATCAACATATAACATAACTACTGAGCATGCAGATAATCATATAACAACACAGGTAGTCCTACCGATCTACCTAACTGGCATAGTCACTAGCATGCAGCACTAACTCATACTCAACATCTAACACTGCTAGGATAACATATCCAATGGGCCGGCCTTGGTGCCTTAGACCCCTTAGTATAGTGAGGATAACTCACCTCGCAAGTAGTGCTGAAAATGATAGGCTCAAACTCTCGAATCACCAACACGAACTCCACCACCTATAGTTACCATAAAATCCTTTTTCCATAAATTTCCAAATTACCAAAATGCCCCCAGAGGTCAACTGGTCAACCCTTGGTCAAAGTCAAAGTCCACAGTCAAGTCAACAGTCCATGTTGACCCGACTCGTCGAGTGTAGTTCACCGACTCGTCGAGTCCTTCCTGAACTTCGAGAAGTCGTGAAATCCTTGGTTGACTCGTCGAGTTTCCCTATAACTCGCCGAGTTCATGCGTGTCCAAAGGTTGGGAAAAACCCTAGCCGACTCGCCAAGTCATTAGACTGACTCGCCGAGCCCAAGGCAATCTTCATCGGACTCGCCGAGTTGTTCATCAACTCGTCGAGTTCATAACCATCTTCATATGACTCGCCGAGTCGACCTTGCGACTCGCCGAGTCCCTTCAATCCTTCATCCATACAGATGCTTTTTAAGCCATGTTAAGGCCCCATATTGTAGATCCAGCTTCCCAAGGCATGTTTATCACGTAAAGTTGCAAACTTTACGTGCATGCAAGGTGATAATGACCTAAAACAAGCTAAAGAAGGGGTTCTTAGGCAAAAGAGCTCCACCAACATGCTAAAGACTGAGACTTTATGATGATAAGGGCCAAGATGAGCCTAGATCTGAAGTTTCAACTTCAGATCTTGGTTCATCACTCGAAATGCAACACCAAATGCCCAAAATGGTCCCAAAACTCAATATAGACAGGGGGTTTAACTAGGAGAAGCTCAAAGTGATGACTTGATACCTCCAAATGGTGATAAACTGAGGTAGACTTCAGATCCCCAACTGATCCTTGTTCAAAGCTTCTTGGTCTTCAAACCTTTCCTCACCAAAATCCCTCTTCCAAGCTAAGAAGCACACCAATATAGAGAACAACACGAATTAGGGTTTCTGAATTCGAGGGGAGCACTAAGAAAGGCTAAGGGGGGATAAGTGATCCTTAAATAGGGTGCAAAACCCCGAAATTTAGGGTTTCATCTGCCAGCTACTACTCGTCGAGTCCCTTATTGGACTCGGCGAGTAGGTCACTAAAACACGCGGACCAACCCGCTCCTACTCGACGAGTAGGGTAATCAACTCGTCGAGTAGACCTTGAAAACAAGAAAATTCTTATATTAATTCAATACCTAAGAATCGGGGCGTTACATATATTCTATTAATTAATAAATAAAATTATATTTTTTTTAAGTATAACATATATAGACGGGTTGGCGGGTTGACCCGTGAACGGTGAACCCAAACAAGTAACACAACCCAACTCATGAAATAAACAGGTTGGTGGGTTGGCAAGATGACGTGTCAGAAATCTCAACTCAAACTCGTTTATTTTCGTGTCAGATCCATGTCGGATTACGAATTTGATCAAGTATTGTCACCCTTAATTGCATAATGTAAACTTTTAGCAATTTTATTTTTCACAAAATTAATTGTTTTTTCAGACAATAAAATGAAAAAGTAATAAAATAAAAACGTTTAATTAGTCATGAGAAGAAAAAAAGATAAATCATGAAATACTCATATATAAAAAAGATAATTGTGCAAAAGTCATCGTAACAAGGATTCTTCCCCTTTCCCAAAGTTGACTGCAAATGGTGGGTTAGTTGGATCTTGATTTCTTTATTTCCTCAATACTTCTCTTTTGACCAGACATCCATGTGTTCTATAATTTATATCAACATTAAAAAATAAACAATCTTTTTAGTTTTCTCGTTCATGAATGTCAATTTATTGATCTATTTTATTAACTAATTAAATTACATATTTAAATATATATTTTTTTAAAACATCAAATATCATTAAGAGGTCAACGATTAGCAAGTGACTTAATCGCAACAGAAAAACAATACAAGGAGAAAAAGACGAATATAAAAGCAAAACAAATTCCAAAGATAAATGTGTAAAAAATGAGCAAATTCATTCACCCAGTTGCCACAAGCATTGTTTCTTCTGTATTTGCACCATGAGTATGAATTAGTGATAATGTCATCAATTATCGATTTCATCCGAGACACATTACTCCTTTTTATTGTTGCCTTTCATAATTTTTATTGTAAATTTTCATTTATTATGATTTATTACAATAATTTTAATTTTTTAAAAAGATAAATATATTATTAAACAAACAAACCAAATTTTGTAGTCAAAATTGTTAGGATTAATAAATATTGGCGACTTCTAATTGTCTTATTTCCATGTATATCTAACATTTAATTTCATTCATAATTTATCAACCAAATATATATTTATATATCTATTCTAATAAATGAATGTCTTTTTTTGCCACATGTCAAACTCTCATTCAATTTGCTAAATGTCATTTTGTAGTTATTTTGAATTAATTTCTTTTCCATATGTTATTTTATGGGTTTTTCTATTTTAATAAATTTTATATAATACTTTAATATAACAATTATAATAATAATAAATGAATATCAATTTCATTAATTGACTTACCTTCTTATTTCAAAATTCTCAAATTAAAGTTCGTTAGTTTATTTTGTTTATTTATTTAAATTTAAAAGATAAAAAAAATCAATTTTAATAATTCATTATTTTTTTTATTTTCTTATAAATCCAAAGTTCTTAAGTATTTAGACATTTATATTTATTTTTATAATTAACCCATGTAATACATGGGTCTTACACCTAGTAAATAATAACAAACAAGAATTATAACTTTTTCCAAAATTAAAAGTATCGTGATTTTATAATAACTAACAATAATACAAATTAGAATAAACATTATAAAATATATTTTATTTATTTAAAGTAAAGGTTAATAAATAATTATTTTTTACAAACAAAACTATTTTGACATACAAGTTGAAAAACTTATTGGTTGATAAAAGAAACGACATTTGGTAAAAAAATAACCGCAAAAATAACTGAAAAATATAAAAATAATATAAAATGACATGCAGAATAATTATTAGATATTATAAATCAATTAATATATAATTAAATTAAAATAAATACTACAAAATAAAAGTTTTCCAATTAATTATATTTAACTAAGATTCTTGTGTCTAATATCAAACTCTTAATATTCTCATGCATTTATTGTCTCATGGGGACTTTCCAATATTATCATGACTAAATTTAAAATGGTCATCTAATTTTTATATATATTTTATATAAACATGTAATTATTTTATTGAAAATTATATATGTCGAAGTGATTCCTTCAATTTTAATTACGTAGGGTAAATATCATCATTATGAAATCTATTTAAGTGATCTTAATTTCAAAGGTATTGTGGAGATCATTTTCAAATGTTTAAAACAACAGTTTATCGTATAATTTGATAAATTGAGTAAATACGAATAAACAATATTCACATAAATAAATATTAAAAAGAAAAACAAATGAAAAGATTAAACATATATGTAAAGGAAAAAGTGTTTCTAATATTAACAACATAGATTAATACCTTAAATTGGTAAATATAATATAGGAGAAAAAAATGTAACATTTTAGATATTTATTTATACAACTAAAAGTAAAAACAAAAGTAAAATTAAAATTAACTTTGAAGGGTAAAAGAATATATAATTAAAAAAAGATGAATTTATATTATTTTTAAATAAATTATATAAATTTATTGAAACATAATGTGAATAATTTTTTAAAAATAATTTTTAAAGTGAAAAATATACCTGACAAATAAGTATTTAAAACGTTAATTTAAAAATTAATTTTTAAATTGACAAATATAGCATTTGTATAGATATATAGCCTTTATACAAAAAAGGAAGAAAAAAGAACCCGAAATTTTTAAACGAGGTCGGCACGATTTCGAAACGCAATTCTTATCGAGGGCAGCACCCATCTTCATACTCTCTATCCCCATGTGTGACACGTGTCAAAATCGGGACCCTTAAAATGTGTCTCCGATTTTCTCCCCCTCTCTCTAGCGCACGCTTTCTCTCTTCAAAAACTATGAATTTACATACCGGCGATATTCGTTCATCAGTTACTATTAACACAACCATGGCTGAGCCCTCAAAGCATCACTGAAACAGAACAAGTATTTTTTCTTCAAAAATACACAGGTAAGGATACAGCTACAAGTATAGATACAGGGAAAAAGCAAGGATGTGGAGATCGTCATTTTTGCTGTTGAAAGAGGGCTTGTCTTCGGGGATTGTTAGGACTAAACCGGTTACGTATGGATTGAGAAGGGGTGTTTCCGTTGAATCTACTAACCGATTATGTGGTTGTTTATTTTCGAGTTCGGCCGGCGGAGACGGCAGAGCAGGCGTAGGCGTAGGGAGAGGGGTTGATGATGGTGATAGTATATCGTTTGCGGAGGCGAAGAAGCTGATGAGATTGGTTAATGTGGAGGCAATGAAGATGAAGTTTTCTACGGAAGGGAAAGAGATGATTTCTTATTCAGAGCTTTTACAGGCTTGTGAGAATATAGGCGTTGCGAAATCCGTTGATGAAGCTAAGGCGTTTGCTAAGGTTCTGGATGAGGCTGGTGTTGTTCTTATCTTTAGGGATAAAGTTTACCTTCAACCTGAAAAGGTACAATCTACCATTCTTCTCTGTATATGAGTGAAAATTAAATTGAATTGGATCTGTATTGCTTCAATTTTTAGTGCCAACGTTTGACCATAGATGGTGATAGGAACACATTATCTGAAATGATGGGTCCCAAATCCAAAGTGTATTGATCTAATGATGTTAGGGTTTTTTCCGGTGATAATTAGGTGGTGGATCTTGTGAGAAGGGCGGTGCCGCTAGCCCTAACAGCCGATGATGATCCGAGGAGGGAGGAGCTAAAGCAGTTACAAGCAAAACAAGAAGAAATCGATCGGCTAGCCCACCGGCAGGTCCGCCGGATTCTGTGGACCGGGCTAGGGTTTGCACTAGCTCAAGTCGGGATCTTTTTCCGGCTAACTTTTTGGGAATTATCATGGGATGTTATGGAGCCGGTTGCATTTTTTGGTACAACAGCGGGACTAATCGTGGGTTATGCTTATTTTCTAATCACATCAAGAGACCCCACGTATCAAGACCTGATGAAGAGGCTGTTCTTGTCTCGTAGAAGAAAGCTGATGAAGAAGCATAATTTTGATTTTGAAAGATTTATGGAGTTACAGAAGAAATGCAGGTCGCCTTTAGATGCACATCCTTCAGCCATACATAAAATTGAAGGGGTGGAATTGGAAACTCAGGATCTGCACAAGCAATAACATAACTGGTTTGACTTTGTTTGACTATTATTGGTCATTTCATGGGGATTATCATACCCACTAATTTTTTGACGTAAAATACCTGGACAAAATACAAAATGTTCGATGATTTTGCCCATTTGTGGGTTATAATTATCTTTGAATTTCTTATTCCTAGTGTTTATAAGAGCGTTGAAATGCATAATCCTTTTCGGTGAATGAATTTGATTCATCGCAACAATCGTTATTTCTGAAGTTCCATTGCAAGATAGTTGGTGAATTCCTCATCTGCCTACGGTTTTAGCTTGGGTGGAGCCTCTTTTTAGGTGTTTATAAGAGCTCTTCAATGATGATTTATACTATGACTAATATTTTTGTCATCAACACTTTATATTTTAATACGGAGTATATTAAATACTAGTAAAATATTGTGATTTGTAGCCAAATATTTTGATTTTCTTTTTGTAATAGGGAAATTGACATATGTGAACAACTAGTGTAAATACTGGGTAAATGTGAAAACTTATGTCCCAAGTAAATAACTAAGACGGGGGTTGGAATTTGCTTATATGGAACAATTTATGTTTTGGAACATTTTATGTTTTGTTTTAAAAAACCTGATTAGCGCGGAGCGTTTAAGAGTTTCTAGTTTCTAGCATTTGACAAAACATTTCGTTTTGAACAAAAAATCTCGTTTGGTATTTTACAAGTTTTTAGTGTTTAGTTAAAAAAATCGTTCTAAATTTATAAGCTATATCATGCAACATTTAACAAAATGTTATTAAATACCAGCTAATTTTGTCAAACACGTCCTGAGTGTTTTAACTTTATAGGGTATATAAGGTTTTTGTTAGCTAAAACCGTCTCCAATTCAACTGCAAATTTTTTATACAAAATGAAGTAAAATGATATAAAGTGTTAAATCTTTATTCTGTTATATTTTTTACAACAAAATAAATCTTTCTAATATATTCTTTTTTTATAACTTACATACATGGTAAAAAAATACTCATTTATTAATTAGTTTTTAACAAATATTAATTATATCTTTTATATCACAATAAATTTATATATTATATTATCACAAATTCTTAACAAAATAAATTATTCATATATAAGTAACTCAAATTAACTATGATATTTTTAAACTTTATTTTTGGGATTAATCGATATATATATATATATATATATATATAGATATATATATATATATATATATATATATTATATATATATATATATATATATATATATATATATATATATATATCAACATTATATTAGATAATAATTACTATATTTAAATTATATCTAGTCAGGTTAAAATAAATTAGAAATGTATAAACAAAAAATAATGTTAAAAAATATAAAAAAAATCTATAAAAAAGAATAAATAAACTTATAATAATAAGGAATAAATTGACAACAGACTTCCCCTTTATTTTGGTATAAATGATTGTATTACTTAATATAAAATAATATTATTTATTTACACCAAAAAGTGAAGAATGAATTAAGGTTGGAGAAATATGAAATGTGAAATGGAATGGGAAAAAAGATTTGAAGTGGAGTTGAACTAGTTGAAGTTGTCTTAAGACTAAAGGTATACTCCTACAATGGGGGTGAGGTTAATTTGATCTGACACCTTAGTGGGTGTGGGAACACCACCACGCCCATTAAAATTACCACAGTTGAAGGCCTCTTGTGGTGGAAATCCACCATGTCCACGCTCTTTTCTTTCTTCTTCTTTTTTGCTTCATTCCTTGTACGATTCAAGTTTCTTTAATATAAAAAGTGAGAGTTGGTTATTTCCTATATAAAATGAAACACAAAGGAAATGAAGTGATAGTGGAGAAAAAAATAGTAAAAAATATGATAAACCACGCCTCTTATTCTTATATGATATCAAAACACAATAAGATAATAAGTTATTCTTTTAGTGTTTGAGAAATTATGATTATACATGTAAAATACTTAAATACCAAAAATGATACATCACATATTATTGACTTGTTTTTTTTAAGAAATCCCCCGTAAAGTCTCAATATTTTTGATCAATTTACGGTTTAATCCCAAATTATTATTTTCTTTACAAAAAATGACAGCTTACCAGCTTCGGAAAAACACCCTTTTTGGCTGGTTTCGTAGATTTAGCATGTATTTTTTTTTTTTTTGTTAATTTAGTAAAAATATTGGGATTTTTATAAAGATTACGTTATGTTTTTTAACCTAACCACCATATAACATTCATACCTTACATGGTAACAATCATCATATAACACACATCCACCGAGAGTGAAAGTCAACCTTGAATGACAGTTTAAATGGAAACGAGTAAAGAGTAATTATTTATTTCAAGGTTTACTTTTCAATATCGATGGATGTGTGTTAGAAGATGGTTGTTACCAGGTAAGGTTAGGGATGTTCAAAACCGAATATTCAAAAATTTCGGATAGTTAATTTCAATATTCGAATCTGTATCCGAAATTTCGGATATGGATTCGGATAGTACTTCGGGTATCCGAAATTATTTTTTTGGCAATCCAACGCAATGTAAACAAGCAGCATTTAATGATAATAATATGAACAAAAAGAGTTCATTTATTTAATAAAACATTGTAAAATAAGAAAAACAAAACAAATATATAAGAAACAATTCGATAAACGTTTTCTGCCTTTATGGATTATGTGTACTACCATTGTAAATTAACTACATGAACAATCACCAATTATATTTAGGAGCTTTATAGTAGTATAATAGTAGTATTAGATTAATTCTTTAAGTTGGTAGTTTAGAGTATCCATAGTCTAGAGTCTTCGTGTTAATCTTGTGTAAAACAAATAAAAAATGTAAGTGAAATGAACACGACAGACACTTAACATCTACATATATAAATAAATATAGTATAAGTATACATATATATTTAATGGTATGTATTTCTTACTAAAGGCCTTTTAAAATTTTAAATATAAAATAAAATATTAAAGAAATATGAATTCAGATATAGGATATTCGAAATATCCAAAATTTTGGAAAATCATTATCCGTATCCGAATCCGAAAAACCGGATATTCCAATTTTTATATAGTTTAGGATCGGATTTTCAAATTTTCGGATACGAATATTTTTTAACACCCCTAGGTAAGGCATGGAGGTTAGGTGATAGTTAGGTTAAAGAACATAAAAGTAACACCAGCATCAAATGAACACTCACATAGTACATGTAACCATGACACTCATAATGATATATAAGAGGGACGTAAAAAGTTTGAAGTGGTCAATAAACAATATAAACAAAAAGGCTTATAGTGTTATCAGGTGTTGTCTTCTATCCTTAAGGTTGAAGGTTCAAGTTTCGTCAGGACATAAGTGAATTTAAGAATAGTTTATAGGAGTAAAATAGATTTGCCGTTAAAAAAAAAATATGTATTGTATTTCTTTTCCCAAAAATTAGCAATAACTATATTTTATTTGTTTATAATAAAAAATTTGTGTTGCATTTATAAATGATTTGTCAATAATAATATACATTAATTCAATCGTAAATCTTCGAAAAAATCTCATTATTTTAGTTATTGATTAAAAATAAAGCAATATTCAGAAAAATCTTAGTATTTTGACCAAATTAACGAAAAAAAATAAGATTGTGGCTAAATCTACGAACCCAACCAAGAAGGGTTGTTCCAAAGTTTTAGGTAATCTGTTATTTTTTGATAAAAAATAAAATTAATTTGGGATTAAACTATAAACTGACACAAAATATTATCACTTTAGCACGGTCTTTTATTGTTTTTTTCACGTAACAGTTTATATATTATCATTTGTATTGTTCATATCAATAATATTGCAAAAAATCTTTTGAGTCCAATAATTATATATTCTATGATGTAATGCTATGATGAATTTGGACTAAAGTTATTTTTTGCAGGAAAAAGTTTTAATTTCCTGCATGTTATGTTTTAGAAAGAAAGGATAAACCTAGGTGGTCCCCAGCCTAACCAAAGCTAATGAATACGACACTATAGATCAAATTTGTGGTGAAAGCCTTCTATAACTGTCTATGTGAAATGATATAGCATTATTATTGAGCAGTGTAATTGGCTCCTACATATTTAATAATAATAATAATAATTGTATTGTTTGATGTTGATGCTATTCGATTTCAATTCCTGCACTGTAGTTTTTTTTAAGGATGGTGATAGTGATGCAGATGATACGTAGAGGACAGGGGAGATGATGCAATACTAATGAGAAAAAAATAAGTATACGTTTATTTTTAGGACTAAAATAATTATAAGATTGTAAAGTTGTTTTCGCCTATAATAAATACTTTTTAATTGAAAAAAAATTCTAAAACTATTTATTTAAGTAACACTTTTATTTTTTCTTTTCAAACAATTAAACCATAAATTGATAATCACTAGACAATCTTTGTAATGTATGTGGCCACACCGGAATTGTCTGATAATAATCATCTCTCCGACAACTTGTTGGATTCTTGGTAGATGGTTTATTTTGACTTGTTTAAAATTTGTTATAAATAAATAAATAATAACCAAATTGATCTATTTCTCAGTTTTTGTCGTTTCTACCTTAGTGATACTCTTTCCCCAAACTTTCTTTTCCAATATACCAGATCTACATGTGTTTTCCAAATTCAAAATCGCATTAACTTGTAGTTTTTCAAAAAAATAAAAATGATGGGCTCAACCTCAACCAAATAGATGAGTATATATTAACACTAACCAATATTTGCTTTTCTTCTTTCTTCCCATCAACTCCTCTCGTGCTAAAATTAAGGCGTATTGTTGAATATTGTGAAATTTGGCAAAACTTATTGATAATTGGAAAATATAGCTTTTGTGTGAAAAAGTTTGGGAAAGAAAGGTTTTGATGAAAAGCTGTTCATAAATAAAAGATGGTTTGTGTTTGTCAAGGCAGCCAAGACATGATGGTGAAACTTGGGAGGGTAGAAGTATAGAAGTAGAAAACCAGGAGCATAACATTTGTTTCTTTTTCTTCTGGTTATAGTTATAATTAATTTCGAAGAAATCACATAATTTTATAGACATTGTTCTTCTGAAAGATTAAAAACTCACTCTCCATGCAACTCAGCAGATCAAGAACAGCCGCCCCTGTAGACCCATTGAAATGCTTCAATATGTCCACCAACGTGACCTGCATTGCTAT